GAATCTTAGTCACAATCAAGTAATGCTTGCGAATGATATAATATAACACCTGTCTTGGGAAACCACTCATTTAAAGCACCCAATCAGAATCAAATGAGCACAAGCTCTGCATCCACCCACTATGATTTCCAGCATTCATCTTAAGCCGAACGTCGGTTATCGCGTTGATGATCTGCTTTCTCGCCCCGATGCCTTTGATGTCTACCAAAATAAAAGGCATGTTCCCTGTCCCCGACGTATTTTCCAAGCTTAATATAGGAAAAGTACTCATTCCAAATGGCTGCTGGATGTTGACTTATCAGTATGACGAACGTACCCCGTAGATCATATTTCGCAATTTCAAGAAGGGATATTTCTGTATCTTGAACGGAGAACAGTGGTACGAACGAAACAAATATCATATCCAGCCATAAACAGACTGTAAAGGCTGCTGTATGGGATGCCTTGAAAGCCTTCTTGTCTGTTTTCAAGACATCCAGGTAGTGGACTTCCGTACACCACCATTTTCAACCTAAAAGAGTCTGGATATATTAAAATGAAGGACAGGAATGAATTGTTTCCGTTTATTGAGCGAATGTGCTGACAGCACAATTTGCTATCAGGGTGGCGAATCATTCAAAAGTGGTCAAAAGTGCAAAGGGAACCATTTTGCTTCTGAGTAAGAGTTACTTTATATTTTACGATTCCCTGTGTGCCTAGGTGATTGCGCAGGAGATATCTGCACCCACCAACCCTGTCAGGACCGCGGCCACTGTTTGCCGAAGGGAGCAGACAGTTTCGAATGTCAGTGTCCTTTCGGAAGCAAACCACCTCTGTGCAAAGCAGGTACAACGGTTATCTGTTTATTTCAATTAACTCATTTCGGGGAATGCATTCTTCACCAAAATAATAGACAAAGTGTCGGTGGGCAGAAGAGCCAGAGTAATTATGTACATCAGTCGTGTCCTGTTTTGAGAACGCAGAAGAAATCATAAGCAAACATAAAACGAGCTAATTACTTGCCTACTATGCCGAAAAGTCTTATTTTTATTTCTCGGACGATGTACTGACGCACTTGACGCGGCAGAGCCCTCCTAAGATGCATCAGAGGTGCAGTCTGGTTGTGGTGAGCGATAAAAGTGTCGCGACGAAAAATAAAGAGGCTAAACTAAAAAGAGGGACCCACTAAAAGTAGTAGAGAATTAGAACAGACAGAAAAATTCGCCTGTTTGATGACCGTTCAGGTATTCGGCCTGACTGACTATTCTTTATGGACAACTGTTTGATGCACCACGCGTCTACGAGTTTTGGCGACATTTTTTGCCTAACATAGGCTACTTTGGAAACTAAGAACACCCAAAGAATCACACACACTGTTTTTAATAGAAATTTCAGTCTTCTTTTCGAACGTCTACGTGAGGGTACAACTGCATTTTCCGTTTCGCAATTCCTATCTTTCAAGGGTGTAACTCTCCTCCTCTCACGCAAAAGTTGGTCCTGAATTAAACCTTTCATTTCGAGCTCTGACACGTATTCAGGCAGCATAAAAATCCGAGTACTCTGATTCTTCCTCATAAAACTGCGATACATTGTTAGGTACGATATTAAAAAGAATTATTCTCGTTTACAGCGCTTATTCCAAAGATTCCCGAATTTTATGGAAGTTCCTATCTCGTATTTTGGGGCATCAAGGCCACCTCAATGACTGATACGTTTTTCCAAGTTGTGTTTCTGCCTCGCGATCCAACTGGCCTTTTGGCTTACTCCGGCTATTCCTTCGACCGTAGAGGGGACTTCTTCATGGTGGCCCTGGTTGATGGCAAGGTTCTCGTCTCTTTCGATTTAGGAACAGGCCCGGCTTTCTTACGGTAGGTGCACGATCATTCTGTATTTTATGACTGGCTTGGTAACAGCCTAATATTATGCTGCATAACATTTTGCTTCACATTAACGCCGCATCTGTCTTTCCAGTTCCAGAACTATATGCAGTCTTAGTGGGACGTGTAAGAATGCGTGTGAACAGCAGTGATGAATATTTTCATGGACGATATCCCATGCAGCGATTATAATTTTCTTTTTATCTCCAGTAAGTCTCAAAACTTTCAACGGACGACTTCGACTTGGACGTTTTAAAAGGGAACTTGCACTTCTCTAAGTGTGCTCCTCATAACTTTACCCAGTTGTAAAAACTATGCTACCCCGGCGGGATTAGAAGTCATCTATGCATTAAGTGAGCCTATTAGTCAGTTGATGGATTCTAGATTGACTGTTTGGGAAACCATGCTTGAAAATTCAGTTTGTTGTGTAAGAATTGGTGGATTCCATACGTTGCAGTAAATTGGGTAGGCAAATCGGTCCAAATATGATTAAAATCATGGCTACCAGTAGGGACTAGTAGCTTAGATAGTTAGAGCGTTGACTGCACTCAAGCCTTTTCCTTGCGGTCATTGGTTCGAATTCCATCGAAGCCGTTGAATCTTTCATAATTGGATAAAAAGGCTTATTAAAAATCTGCCAAAAACACTTTTTTAAACGTACTCCTGTGTTCGCATAGGGTTGCAATAATTGATGTCTCTGGAAGCATAATAAACAAAAATTGGTTTCAGAAAGTTACCCTCAACCACGACTGCGAGTCTTAAACACTTAATCAGTGAAATTAGTCGGTATCAGTGATTTTATGGGCTCAAAACCCCGATCAGATGTTCAGGGCATTACATTAGAGTGATATTTACTTTAATTTAACTGATATTTACCTACAACCAAATTATCGTGCACTTACATCCAGGAACTCCATCACTTCTCTACGAATTCAATGTTATGTTGGTGAATTTTCCAACTTTCGGACCCGTAGCGGACGCGGTCTTGAGCAAAAGAGAATCAAGCTGAAATATTGGGATAGTTGTGAGAATGACATCTTCTTAATTCTCGCCCACAATCATGCATTGGTACTTATAGCATATTTCATGGATGTCTTTTGCATATAAAATTCAGAAATGGAGGAGGAGGAGGAGGAGGAGGAGGAGGAGGACAAGACTCAGCCAAATTTGATCGACGTCTTCATCTGTAGCGTCGAGTGAAGTGGACCTAAAATCATGTATCCATGTAGGTGACAAACTCAATCTAGGCATGAACCGTAAACAGCTTTTGGATGCCCCACGCCAGTCATAATCGACTGTGGTCATCTTTATGAGACCGTCAGTGTGGTCTGTTTGAACAGTAAAATGCTTTAATGATCGCTTTTGCAGTGTATTCCAAGGTTCGGACTAATATTTCACAGCATTTTATGAATGCTGACAGTGGACAATTTGAACTTTATGAGTTATGTTGACGGATTTCTTCCCGGAAGCCATATATCTTGCATGTGTATGAACACGGAGATTGGTGGACCTATTACTGTCAATGTCGGCTGCCCCACAAGACTAGTGTAAATCTTCGACGTGCTTTAGTAGTGGAGACCTGGGAAGGGAGTGAGTTCTGGGTTTTCGGGGACATTCTGATCCTTCTTTCGAGCTGTCTCTTTTACTTCCCATATTTTATCGTCCCCGAAAGTGGTTTTCCGAATTTTACCGATAGATCACCGTGTCCGTTGATTCTGTGTCTTTGTTTGTCTGGACTCTTTCTTGATTCCGGCAAGCGTGGTTAGCAAAACAGTTGCAGCATATTCGTTTTTGAAGGCCCTTGTATGACATTTCTACTACACGGCTGCTCCATCGAAGTCGGATCCGTTTCAAACTTACAGACATGCTGAGCATGCAAATTGGTTCCAGGCTGTGCGTGTCAGGGATCCGTTCACGCCACTTCACCTTTTTAATCCAACGAAATGAAAGTGATGAGTATTATGCGCCCATACCACGTTTGGGGCCGCAGAGAAGGGTGGCCAGCGCCACAAACTTATTTCTCTTTAGTCTTCTGCCACTAAAAACGCCCTAGCGACTCCATGGAGATGGTGGTGGCTGGCCGAAGGCTGACACAGCACACCTGAGCCACAGCCATGAATCGGAAGGCGAGGTCGTTTATAAGCGAATTACCTCCAACAGGTATTTCGAACGAGTTGGTACTCAGGCACATTTTTTGATCAGTGCGCCAAAGACGAGCCGAGAGATCGTGCCTTTTGCGAGTAAACATGCTGCCGTACGTCAAGTCTCAGAAGTTGCCAGCTGACGTCCCACACCCCCTGAAGAAACAATCGCGAACACGTCCGCAGCAACCATTCGGTCCCGTGTGGCAAGGCTGACGAAGCGGGTACTACGGCAACATGTATCATTGGGTGTTTGTCGAATTCTATGCAATTAAGAAGAAGGGGTAAGTTAGAGGAGCGAGCGGATTATTTCGAAGGCGGGTAGGCGAACACGCATCAACATAGAGTTAAAAAGGTATTTACTCATACTTGGGGCGACAAGACCACAACTTTTAGTTCGATGAAATCGAAACCTTGCTGAGGGAAACAGCTATCACGAGCTGTTGGTCAGGAGTTCCTCATTAAGCATAACGACCTCTTCAGCCCGGGACGCTGTTCAGGAATATAGTCGACGAGTGATTATTAAGCCAAATAGGATCTTCTGCAATTAAAGCATTGCAAGCTTAGCTGCCGGCTCGATTTGTTTTTGCCTGCTACGGCGCGACCGTATATGAACCCTATACATTTGGTGAGTAGAGTTCGTGTTCTAACGAATGTACCTTTTCTCGAAGACTATTCAGAAAGTACGTGCACGTCTGTTAGTTCTCTATTCACAGTTAGTTTTAAATGAAATTCCCACCAAACGTTTTCACACTTTCTAAAGAAGTACTAAGGACTGGTGTCTTGCCGACGTTTATTCCTTGGTCAGATGTGTGATTGGGATAATTAACGGATAGCTTTACAGTAACTAATGCAGCACTGTTTTTTTCTCACAAACTATCTTTATTCGTATAACTTCTCTCAACTTTAGAGGTTTCTCACAACAAATTATCATTCTTACTGTTATTTCAGGAGCTCAACAAATTTGACGATTAATCAGTGGCATACTGTGGAGGTCCGCCGAATGGGCAGAAGTTTTGCCATCTCCGTGGACAATGCACCCAGCGAAGTGGAAGCATTTACGGAGGGCAGTTTCATCCAGCTCACAATTTCGGATCACCTGTTCATCGGCGGCCATCCCAACCCGGATCACCTTTCTGCGCTGATGCCCGACGCGGATCGCCTTTCCTCGTATAAAGCTGTTCTTGGACTCACGGGCTGCATACAAATGGTCCATCCTGATAAAAATGACTGATTTAGTTTGCGGCTAGTGCATACATAGAGCGGGAAGTCAAGAATGAGAATTGAAAACGCAAGATCGTCTGCGTAACTAGAAAATCGTGAATATGTGAAAATGTCGAGCCCAAAGTGCCTAATTAAGTAATTAAGAAGGCTATTCGAACACCGGCACCATACCCTTGCCCGTCTGGACTTTTGGGCCCAGTCACTCGGCGTATCGATCTGACACTCCATACCCTGCTCTCTGAAATCACCATCACACTTGTTAGACTGTCTGCTGGTTGCTTAAGCTGACGGTTTCTTATGCCTAACGGCGGCCCAGGAGCTACATTTATGTTTCCGATACTCAACCAAACTTCTTTTACCGCACGTTAACTTGCTGTACTAGAAGACAAGCAACACCAATGGGGACCAGTGATGACGTCGGGGAGCAATGAGTCGGGAGTGGGAAGTCATATATGCGGGTGGACACTTTTTATCCTCAACCGGGGAAAAAAATTGTAACTTGTGATTATACGCAGGACAGGGAATTGCCATACCAAAGTCTGCAATCACCGTCGGAGGAGAACAGGACCTCCGTTTAAAGTGTTTTGATATCTGACTTTGGGTGCTCTAGAGGGAAATGAGAGGGCTTTTGTGCAACGGTAGGGTGAAGGACTCCCAATTAACCGTCAGTAGACTGTGGATCGTCTCATATGAGGTGCTATCTTGGCATCCATTTGCAGGCTGTGGCAGAAATTACACTGCAGACGAAAATTACTTCCCATGACCCCAAACGGTTACTCAAACTCCGTTATTGTTTGAAAATTTGCTTCTTGTTCTGTTCAACTAACGCGCTCATTTTCGTTGCCATACGAAAGCGTACAATAAGACTTCCGGCAACACTCCATATGACACGATCCGCAGTCTACCAACAGTTGAGTTGGGTCCTTCGCCCTACCATTGCCTGCTTTTACCTCTAGACATCCCCTATCTCACGCGAGAATTTTAATAAACCTCACAGCTTAACCGGTTGACTTTGTGGATTTAGATCAGCATAGTTATTCTTACAACGCGAAGGCCACATACTAGTTGTCATGATAAGAAGCTCACGCGATTTACTTTGAAGGCCTCCCTTTAAGAACATCAAGTAATGGCCTATTTTCAATGATATCGAAAATAAGTTCCTAGCATTTTTGTCGATTCACTATACCGCTCGTTGGAAAACCAACTCATTGTTTGCTTGTTTGCAAAAACTATATGCGTGTGAAAGAATGTGAGGTCCCTTGGAAAGACGGAGTTCCTTCCCCGAAGATTCATCTAGTTAGAAACAGATGGTAATCAGACAAAATTTGCAGGAATGGTGCGATGCTCGAACTCCAGGGTGAGGAGGGGGGAAGACAAGAATAGTACCCCCGGTCGGCAGGATGGTGTAGACTGGCGGATGGGAAGAGAGAGGTGGCGCCATGAGCGAAGTCCTTCAGGCTGCTGGGAGACCGTGAGATGTCCATTCACTAATGCTGCTTATGAAGTATACAACATGGCGAAAATCCAGTACAACATTTTGTGGAAACTACAGGACGCCATCTTAACAGCACAGAAAACGGAAAAACGGAAAAAGCGGTTTTCGATCGGCAATATACAGTGGTAGGGGGGCGCTAACCGATCGTTCTTACGGAACTCACTCGTTCCGTTGTACCTTATGGACTCTCTCTCTCGAGCCCAACCAGCAGCCGCACAGCGGCGCATGATATAGGCAGAACGATATTACCGACAAAGACAAGGGAAACCAGTCTCCCTTGTCATGTCATGCGTCTTAATGGCCTTTGGTTTTAAATTTTGCGGCCGGGACCGTGCCTAATGTAGACAAGTACTAATGCGATTTCTTTCCTTGTCTATACCTAGGTGTCAGTAAATGGTCGAATTCTGCGTCTTATCAAGGATGCAGTCAACGCGACTAACGTCGGCAACTGTGACAACCACAGTTGTGCCGCCAAGATACCCACCTGTCACCCGCCAGCTGAGTGCCTGCCGCAAGGCTCCGGCTCCCTCTGTCTATGTCATTTAGGCTATGCCGGAAATGCCTGTCAGAAGTGTACGACAAGTTTACCCGTTATTGTAAAACTCATTCCATGACTGTTTGAAATTCCGTATTTTCTAAAATCTGCCATTTTTCACCTTTGAAAAGCCATCAGCGTAAAGGCGCTCAGTAAGCTATTCTTTGATGGATACAGTTACTTGAAGTTCGTGGACTCGCACATGCCCTCTCTGTGAGTCACTATGTGTGCCTTTTAGCCTATTTCTTTCCAAAAACAACATGAAACTTATCAAACATCTACATCTTGAACCTTCTTCCGCAAGATTTATGAAGGACAAATTTACACTCGAACTGACCCTGGAACCCCGAATGCTCGCAGCAAGGCAAACTAATGACACGAAGCGAATCCTCCTCTTCTTGCGTGCCCGTAATGCAGGGGTGGCCGTTCACGTGTCGCTGTCGGTGATACAAGACTGGTCGTTGGAATTGGATGTAGTACAGGTTTTCTCCTCCAGACTTGTGCAGGGCCCATCTCTGCAGACGTCACTTTTTCCTCGCCGACAGAGTATGCGGAAGTCTACCAAACTCATAGCTCATAATATACGGACTGTCACTCTCAAAAGGTGGGTATTATGGATTTTTCATGCGCACTTGTCTGCGCGTGCACCTGTTTGCTGGCAGGACCCATGATCTGATCGGTTCCTGACTTTATGAAATTCATAGTTATTTAGTTTACGCCTTCCAATCAGACGTCAGATCGAGGGATACTTTTGTCTAGTTGGTATTCCATACCCATTTCTGCACTTAATCAGTCTTCGCCGTGGTGATGTAAGATGGTTTGAAAAAAGATGCTATCACTAATTTTTCTTCGCGGCTTCTTCAGTAAGTAAAGTTCCTGACTAAACAGGAGTTTTTTGGTTATAATTTCTCCGCAGAGTCAACACTGTCACATGCTTCGAAGGCAGCAGAATCCACTTGCTGTTAACCGAGTTACATTGATGGGTTTGGGTCATTCCGTAATGCATGTTTATGTCTTTTTCTATCCGACCTCTCGGCTGGGCAGTCATAAGAAACGTGACTCGCTATTGTCTTGAAAAGGTTGTACTGGCGATTTTGCATGAGTTTGCGTGCAGTGAAGTGCGTCAAATCCCATAATTAGCTGGCTAACAGGCTTCGACAGTCGAGTTATGAAACACGAGCTGCCCTGATAATAAACCTGGAGTGGGTACCAAGTCGCGTGTGGCGCGCGGCTTTATCAGTCCCTTTGCCCGAGTTCACCTCTGATATTGTTAACATTATCATACCATCGGGTGAAGGAGAAAAGAATGCGGTAAATACTGGGCATGTCTCACTATAAACTGATTCACAGATATGTCGGCGTCCTGCGTCACATGTTGTAGCGCACAGGGTGGATGTCGTCGTTCGCGACGATGAAACTTACTTTCACCGGTGGAGTAGACGTTTGCGGCAATTACTTTTGATACACCACCCACCGTGTTTCAATGTCGTCGTGTTGGCTTCGGAGCTGCTAAAGCTAGTATAATGAGGAGTGCTCTGAACTAACATGAAGAAGGGTTTCTGAAGATAGCACTCGCTGTCTATTTCTTCTCCCAGTGCACCGGCAACCTGTCGGAGCCTTTCTGTTGAGTAGTGCTGAGATCGGGCGCATCGGCTGGCATGGCGTGAGCCCCCGTCTAACGCGTTGACCAAGTGTTCACCGCAACACTTATCTACTCGTACGGACTTAGTGAAGCCCAACTGACGTATATCATGAAATAATGTGGTCCATGTTTTAATCGAACGCAATAGGGGGCACTGTTCGTATGAAGAAGCAGCTTCATAATGACACACCTTACGACAGTAAATGTTTCATTGTCATTCGTCGTTACGTGATAAACATTAAGAGAACATGAAATGTAAAAAGCCCCCAAGTGACTTCTGTCCGTTCGTCTTTACCGGGGGGCGGTCGATTCAGCTTTAATGGTGACTTGGAAAACAATGTTGGTATGATCATGAGCTTCTAAAAAGCTGCATTTGTCTAAAGACTTAACAAGTAAAACAAGTTGATGATCACAATACAGATATAAAAGAGACCTTTCCGGTTTGACTGAATGTCATACTTTTCCCCGAATGCAGTCGCGTAAATAGGATCTGAGACATAGTCCGGTTGGCAAGTGAAAAAGCACTATCATGACCAGCGCCAACCATGACACAGAACCTCTCAGTTTGCTCAGGTACAATTCGAGTAATAGTTCATGAGATTAGCTCAGAGAATTTCGAGAGTCTACGAGTGCTAAGTTAGTGCCTGAACTAGTACTGAGGGTAAAGTCACGCTACAGCTTTTTCTGTTATAACACGCCTTTATATTCTCGACTTTCAACTGGAATTTCCTATTGTTAGCAGCCTTGTAGTGTTTTCTTTAATAGTTCTGTGTAGATATTTTATAAAGCACAGTCGACTTTTTTCCTCAAGGAACGGCAACCTATATGAACTCCAAGTTGGGACAAAGCAGGTTTCCCGACTGACCCTACAGCCTCTCAGTCCAGAACCATACTTTTTCTCGGAGGTATTCGTCGGTAAGTTTTTCTAGAAGGAACATTTTAAATGGTGCATGTCACAAGGGTATTTTGCCTGCCCATCATCAATGGAGACGCCTCCAATGAGTTGTCCGTATTTAAGCTTTTTGTCCAATGGCAATCACACAGTCTATCCTGTGACTTTCTATTCCGAGGTCCACCTGAAATGTTCTCACCATGGCTCAAAAAATGAAGGCGGCAGAAAATAACATAGTTTTTGAAGTTCAGTCGGATTCCAGTGGTCTTAGGAAGACATTGCGTCGAGTGCTTGTGGGCCATAATAGTTCCTAACCACCAAGCGATCCTGTACACTTTAACTGGGGTTTAACATTTACGTTCTGCTCGCCTGTTCACCAAACGGGCCATTCCGTTCGCCAGATTTGCTCTAGTGAATTATCAGCTGCGCTGTTCCCTATTTCCACCTCGGAAACTAAGACAAAACCAATGTGATGGTGCAGGTCATGACAGCCAATCTATCATTCAAGACAACTTGGAAAACCGCTGGTAAGTAAAGGGCCACTTCCCCGCGCTTGTCCACTCACAGTGTCTTCAACCTGTCAGCATTGACAGAATTGACAAGTGCAGTAGGATCACCTAGGTGGCGTTGTAAGATTGATTATCATGCGGTACCATCGTAAGACATTTCAGACGCGACAGGATGCCGGCTTCTGAATGAGATTATTCCCGGTCACCCGCAAAAACCACGCTCAGTAAAAAAAAGTAACCAGTGAAGTTATATGGGGTCTCTTCACTGGTTTTCGATGAACTTATTAATTTGAATAGATTTCATAGAAAATGTACGCAAAAGTGCTGTTTCTTGTACTTACTTGGTAGCCTCATATTTTATACTTGAAGAGGTGTCTTTGTGTTTAAAAAGGGGGGGGGGTTTCAATTCCAGGAAAAATTTAGGGTCCGACCTCCAGTTTTACTCGCGATCTGGGTTTCTAAACTACATGCCGCATATTTTGCGAGAACAGAACATCATTAGTTTCTCTGTGTTATTAAAAATACGTCATTCAGGGCAGACAAAAGTAGACAAATAATGTGGAAGTGTTTTACACTGTATAGGCAAGTGTACATTAACTATAAACTAATTCACGCACAAGTCACCGTTCCTCCTCCACCTTGCTGTGGGCAGGGACGGTGGGCATCGTTGGCAACGGCGGTTGAATTATAGGCAACACCGACAAACACACACATATCATGCTGTATGAATGAACGCTCCATGCTCTCGAAAAACCTCATAATTGCAGACTTTTAAACAAAAAGGCGCCCTTTTCAAACATAAAATTTGAAAAAGACGAATTTTCTAGCAAATTAGTGCAAAAAAACAATATTTTTACACGCTTTGATAAAATATACTTGAATTTACAAAGGCCTCTGAAATCAATGGGCAAAATGGACACGACGTCAGTAGTTCTTTTTCACAATGTGGTCTTATCAGGTTACCTCACACATGCTTGTTCAACAAACGGCACCCTATCGCGGCTGAAATATCTTGGGACCACGCTACACGATAGTATTGCCCTGTTACCCACGAATTCCTTTCTAGTCGGAAACATAGTCTAAAAGTCTGATATGAATTTCATAAGATGAATCACCTACTGTATTACCGGAAGCGCCAAGAGAGACTACAATGACTGGGAGACTGAGGGTCAGGCTGCAACTATCCCTTAAACTGACCTTGATGGCACGATCACTGATTTAAGATCCGAGGTTCCCAAAAGTGGTCTGTTAAGCGTAGTCAGAACCAGTTCTTGTGTGGCACACGTAGAAGGGCTATTTAACCGTTTTAACTAGTGTATCCCAGTCCACCTCCGATCATCTTGTCACTGTCTTGACATCGGAGCCAAGTGGGTGTGAGAGGAAAGAGAGTGCAGTAGGCCTGCTTCAAGGTAAACTAGTCCACTCGCAAGTCACCGGTACTGTTCCCATTCCGTGGGACGTCGTTTATGGTGACGGTCGAATTGTCCTTGCCTTGACGCAAGAGCACAAAGGGGAGTCCACTGAACAAGTCAGGTGAACGATCAAACGCAGGCACCCTGAAGAGGAGTAGACCTCTAATTTCTCTGGATCTGTGAACACCATGGTCCAGGCTTTATTTGAAATAAGCTCCTACAATGTCTCACCAACAGCTCGAAAACTTCGATTTTCTGACGATCCAGTACATTGACAGACAAGGGTCTTTTGGTAAAGCTATAGAGAACCCGATTTATATCAAGTAACTTGAGCCACTACTTCCCAAATTTGACAACCCCCGATTTCAATATCAAAGGTCAAACTTCAAAGCTATCACGCTTAAGTGAACCGTCTCCCGGACCCGAGTCACTTTATTCCTTTCAATTGGACTTTTTGGATAGTTGTCACCTCTCTAGCTCAGAAACATCGATAAACACGGCAGTTGCATTACGCTCGTTGCGTTCTCTGTCCGGTTGCTCCCTTCGACTAGTAACACTCCTGTTGACCTATCGAGCAGCGACCCACCAGTGTACGGACTCGTGAAAACCCAAGCTGGACATCAAATGAAGACATACACCTGCGCAACATATGATTATAACGAAAATAGCCACGAAAAGGCATACTTTTTCAACGGTGATCATGAGAATAATTTAACAACCTTGTTAGCGCCTTCTCATCTATTAATAAATAAAGAAAGACTGATGTAAACTGGGAGTAAATTAGTAGAAGACAGGACGAAAGACAGAAATTTACCTCCAACACAAAAAATGGAACGACTCTTACGCCCGTATATGATCATCGCTCGCAACTGCCATATCTCATCTAGCGGAACTCTGAATAAATTTGGACACCTCTTGGACAAATTAGCTTCTAATAACCTGGTCATATGCGAATAACCTAGCCTGTTAAGTAGGGCGCACCAGAAGACGCGTAGTTTGCAGGTATTACTTTGCTTTTTTCTTGGCTTCCAACGGTACCACTCATCTCCCTAATCAAAGTTTTAATTCTCTTCCAGGTGGACTGGATATTCAAACAACAAGCAAACTGCACTACATGGAGCAGTTTCTCATCGAGAAAAACAGGTTCAGCCCCTCGCGGTTTGGAAGAGGTTTCCGAGGTTGTATATTCGGTATTAAGTTTGATGGCGTAGCCATCACTGCCACCAATGCAACAGACGGTCGAAACATTAGTGAATGTACCGAAGAGAATCATTAACGTGCACTGCATGAGCTAATTTCGATTTCAACTGATGTGTGGCATTTCTATCTTTTAACCTCGAGCGCATTGTACAGTAAAGATACAGTTCAAGACGACCCTGTGCACTTGTCTAGGCAATGAGAATAGCTAACATTTTTATTTTTAAGAAAACGGGCGCCTCGGCTTTGCTTTCAAGTTGAAGACGTACGACCCATGTGGGCTGTCGGAGGGCACCAAGCAGAGAATGAGACATTAATGTTATCGACAATGACAGACACGGAAATGGAATGGAGATGAAAGTTCGAGTTCCAGGTATACTTATAAGTGAAGAAGAAGAAGAAGAAGAAGAAGAAGAAGAAGAAGAAGGCAGGTCGAGCACCGGACCAGTCTGTTTATTGTTCTGATCCTGCGAACTCGTGCAGGAGTCTACTGTCAGATATAGTAGCAGCAAAAGAACAGGCGATAATTATAGGGCTTGCTTGTTCTGTTGTTGAGCTATCTCTGACGATGGAATCCTGCATGACTTCGAAAGCTCAGAATAAACAGACTGTTTCGGCGCTCGACCAGCTTTCTTCTTCACTTGTACACTGGAATGGTTGCCTGGCTCGATTTTCGTCACCCGACAGTGGCGCACCAATTTTGGTCCCCATAAAGCGCTGCACTACAAATGCACTGAGTCGAAACGGCAGTCCGCGTGGTCCGCGCCACGCGTGATCGGGCTGCACTGAGTTCGCTCGAGGCCTTAACTACTGTCATACGTACGTTTGACACGGCTAAGACGAAGGCCTTCACGTCACTCCAGTTAATACATCTAATCCCATCAAGTATTGATTGATGGACTCAGACGGTCAGCTGGTGCATGGAAGATGGAAGAGGAATGAGAACGACACTGCAGACATTATCCCCGCGGCAAGCCTCTGCACTCCGTACTAGAAAAAATCTGACGCGCTAAGAGTCCTGATTTTAGAAGTTGCCAGTATAACCCGGTTCTCTTCAGGATTGAGAATCCAGCCGAAATGGTTCCTTCCTAGCATAGCCTCTATGTCATTGTAACTGAGGTAAAATCTGAGCCGTCCTGACAGTAATATGGTACACCTGGAGTGGAGACCAAGTCGTGTGTGACACGTGTAGACTTTGGACCGTCAGTACATTGTCTTGCCGTCGGTGCCTGGTGGATGAAGGAGGAGGGAGTGCGGCAGATGCTGCGGCGGTCTGTAACACAAACGAAGTCGGCGTTATTTGGATGCAAATAATACTAACTACTGAAATCGTACAAGAGCTATAGACTTTTCAGGACAGAACCGTGGACTGCTATATTCCAGGTGGAATCTATGAGCAAGTAGGGATAGAGCATAAAGTCGTAACAATGACTATGAGCTCAAGCAGGGGTGAACAAATGAGGAAAAGTCAGTTCTGCAAACACTAGCTATTCGAGTCAAGTACTTAATTCTCTACTGTTAGACGCTGTCAAACCGGTTACCGAACCGAACGAATAAATCAACTAACACCTGCTTAATCGCAGTGCTTCTGCTTACGGATGCTAAGGGGGATTTCGCAATATGGTGAAATTTAGGAGTTATGACACGCGCTCTGTACTCAAGGCACAGGTTGTCGACGGGGTGACACTTCAGAAGTCTGCATTAACCATCATCAGAGCCGTTGTATGTGTTGCATGCTTCACAGTTCAACACTGATAATAGACACAACGACGTATGAAAGAGGTGCGCGCACCGACCGCATTACGCAACACCTCGTTCAGCGGTGCCATGGGACTCTCTAGCTCGCTCTCTCGAGCCCCACCAGCAACAGCACAGTAACTCACAATACAATGGCGTTTCCAATCCCCTTTGTCTTGGTCCGTAATGCTATACTGCCTATATTACGCGCCGTTGTGCGGCTGTT